GCCCAAAACAAACTCACCCCCAAAAAGTGAATGTTGCCAAGCCCTCCCAGCGGCCATTTTTCAAATGACATCCCTCACTTTCTTCGGGCTCTTCTGACTAATTTTCAATCCCATTTTTGTCTGCTTTTCCCCCAGATGGGTGCCCCTGAATCTACAGAGATGATCCTGGGCCATACTGACACAATCCACCATTTCTTGGCCTAAACAGACCCCTCCGAGTTTTCGAAACAATCTCGGGGGGGGGGACTTTTTGTGCGCCTCCGCCTGACGGAGAATTTTCCTTGAATTGAGACACTGCACCCATAGCCGCGGCTGCGAAGCGGCGCAAGATGGCGAACTTCACCGTGAATATACACGTAAAACGTTGTCATCCCATACGCGACATTTAAGCAAGCTATACGCGTGCGCAATGCACATTAATGCACAGGGACAGGCGCCGCGGCAGGCACGTGCACCTGAGCCTGCGCCCAAGCATTACCGTAAACTGCGCAGGCGTGTCCCTTGCTCAAATGGCGTCTATGGTAATCGAATCTTATGGCCTATGGTAATTAATTAAATTGCGAAATATATGAGTTACGCATACTAAGCGTGCTCCGTGTCAAACGCGCATATATTTGCGCGCCTCATGGCGCGCCTATGCGGTTGTAAAAAAAAACGAAAAAAACACGCCCTCTTTTGTTCCACTCGGAGCAGATTGCGCTAGATTCTTCTACTGAGGCTTACCATTTCGAGAAAATGTGTCCCATCTTTCTAAATCAATTTGACACTGTTATAAAATAATGCTTTTTTGTTTTTTTGCCTAAACACAGGTTAATCAGGGGAAAACAAAAAAACGCTTATGTCAAAAATTGAAAGTTGCAGAATTCATGTATAAAAAGGGTATTGTTTGGAGCGCAGACTACGAAAAACTACAGGTAACCCTTTTGCAATCACTGTAATTTAGTTAAAGGATTTGAATTAAAAACACATCGAAAACGTGCGTGGTAACTTTTTATAGGAAAAACTCATTGTTAGAAGGAATAATCTCAGGATCTCCGAATCAGAATGATTGTAATCCCGATGGACATATTTGGGCCATCACCCAAACTTGCGCCGTTGCTATGTCTATTGAGCTGAAGCCGATGTAGCACCCTACCTGAGGGCCGCGGCAACTGGCGGAAGGCGGATTTCCTAACCCAGCACAGTGGTACGGAGGTCAGCGACTGAACACAAAACGGAGAGTGTTGGGTGACGGACCACTGAGAAGATCCTTCAAGGGAGGAACTGTATCTCAACACGCCTCCAGCAGAAGCACCCCCTCACCGGTTTAAAATTTAAAGTCACGTTGGTCGACAGAATATTCATTTTGTTGGTAGCCTGATGCAACCGTTAGGCGTGCAATCATAGTCGTTTGTGAACTAACGAAATTCAGTTCCGACCAAAGGAACCCCCGTTGCTAAGAAAAGAGCGCCCTCTCTTATTAGTCCAGCTCTAGGTCCATAAAACTTCCTTGCACAGTTAGTATACACAATTTATGGAGAGTCCTCAACAACATAATCAAAGTCCGTCATCATACGTAGCCGCTCAGTGGCGTGACTACAGGGCTAAATGTCCGCGGGTCACCCGGGGGTGCACACATTTCTTCACGGCTGTGGCTATATAAACACAACAGAAATTATTCACAGATCTTAAGGGGGGGGGGAACCAGGGATGGGCATTCACGGGGGGGGGGGCACATGTCCCCGCCCCCTCCCCCTGGTTACTCCACTGCTGCATACATGTAACATGTAACAAAAGGCCAATTAAACCTTTCGTTTGTGAATTTAGCTCCGCTGTGCTAAAGTTAAATTGGAGTTCTTCAGCAGCTCAGGGATTCCTGATGATGTGCAAATTTAATTTTGTGCCCGGCACACTTCAAACAAGGAAAGAATTTTGCAGATAAAACTACTCGCGCTTCAAAATTAGCAAACGTTACTACGAATGGTTGATGACGTCAGATTTACTTCGCTCTTATGATTGCCTAAAGTATGAACTGACCTTGAAAGCAGGCCCGTTGCCATGACCAGACTTGTGTGGGGGGGGGTTGTCAAACCCAAAAGTGGAACTTTGGCTCTGTGAACACATATCTTTATACAAAGGCCTATCATAATGTGCTTTGGAACACATCATCAAACAAGCTGCATGTTTGTCGCGAACCGACGACTGCATGTAAGACTTGAATACTTCAGTTTGGAAATTAAATGAAATTATATTAAAAAATACACACACATTTGGTTTGATACCTAAGTGGTGAAACACCGAAACTTTGGATATTTGCCAGAACTTCCTGACTATACAGTTAACCATTAAAATGCAAAATTCTTCACTCGAAGTGGCAGACTGAAAAGCTTCTCCAATGTCGGCGAGGCTTACACATGTATTATGTTACCTGATCAGTCCTACCGTAGGCTTAACACACGACTGAGATTAAAGTTCATTGCAGTGCCGAAGGGTCTGACACACTGTCACATTCTTGTTTTTTTTGTTTTGTTTTGTTTTTTTTTGACAGGATCAGACTTCTTATCATTGTCTCCACATCTTCTCTTGGACTAAGTTGCGAAGAATTTCATCCGATTTTTGATTATTAGCAGCTGGCCGCTTCCTTTCCCGCTGTCTGTTCGGAACAACTGGACCCATTGTGAGGCTGATGTACCGACCTAATTTAGCTAGCTTTCGCCGCTTATGTATGTTTTAGGTGACTGCTTCCTCCGTGATATACCATTGAATTTGTCAAAGAAATTGCTCCATTCAAAATGTACTATACAATATTAATTACAATACATAAAATACAAAAACAAATTGGTCAGAGTGCGAGCGTTACAAATGTATTAAAATTAACTGGGTCAAGGGGGCTCACATAGTGTCCCCCTGGATGTTAGGACTATTTATGGCATGTAGTAAATTAGTCTGGTATTAAGTCACTCTTACGAATGGTGTCAACATTTTTATATTACAAATAAAGACCAACACCACCACTAACGAGTGGAAGTCAGAAGCGAGCTGTACCCCCCCCCAAGATGGTGGGCCCCCTTTGTGCCCCCCCCCCATTAGTAAAATCGTAGCTACGCCACTGACGGGGACCCCCCAGCCTATGGGCCTGGAAAGGCATGATTGGCATCATTAATGGTTGCAGTTTTATTTTGTTTCACAAATTATAGGCTGTAATAAGTTTCAAGACCCATAAATAAAACCATTTTATAAGACGCGCAAAAGCAAACACGATCAAATATTCGTGTTGTGAATTCTTTAAAAAAACTTGGAACACATGATTATTTCAACTCGAGCAAAATTTCGTCCCAACCGTACCTTTCGTGTTGTCAACTTCGCTTTCGCATTCGCCTAAAGTCGTGTTATATTCGTCAACTCACACAGCAAAATGCGGTAATAAAGATAAGAAAAATAGCTTTAATGTGCGCTTTGATACCTGGGAAGTAATCTTCTCAGGACTTTTTGAAGTGGGGATATTTGTTATTGTTCATCATTGCAGCTTTGGTCCTAAATCATAGTGCTCTTTCCTGTTGAACTCACAGACATAAATTTGCAGTGTAGCGCCACCTTTCGTTTGAAATAGTCTGCGTAGTATGTGATAGACTGCATTTCAGCCACCGACTATAAAAAAAAGTCGTTGAGAAGACCTACATATACAAAAAGTATTATTATTAACAACGCAATCAATATGAAAGATTACAGTTGTTATTAGACATTAATTTCTTCCTTCTAACCTCAGTAAAAATTCTTTTAGCGTACAAGCGCAGAATGTTTGCGGCTGTTATAGAGTCTACGCTATCAGTAGAACTGCTATTTTTAGAAGGTTGGTGATCTTCCATTTTGCTGCTGTGCAAATTTTGGGCGTCGAGCGGTCTTTAGCCTTGATACAACTGAATCATCGGTCACGCTTCAGATTACACCCTGAATCCTGACAAACAAAGCTCCTTGGTCAATGAAGGACCTCGGAGATTGCCTAGGGAGTTGAAGAAATTTGCAGGACCTTTTTTGAGAGGCAAATGTTGGACGAATCCGCAGTGAAAGATTAAAGCGACATGACGGAGTACAAACTGGTTGTTGTCGGAGGTTGGTGCACGTTGTCCATTTTGTCGTTTGCGTTTGGCATGATGTATGGAGCGTCTGCTTCCGGTATTTTCTGTGACTTCAATCTTCGAAGCTATTTTTATTGTTAATGTTGATATGTCATGAATGTTGTGTTATAGTTGCCTGTCAACCTGCAAAAGCTCCAGATTCTGCATCAGGCTGGTGGCTTGTGTAACGTGCGTGACGATGTACAGTACATGTACAGTACTCGTCGCCAGGTCTCTTTCACACTCGGGCCTAGGGTTCATTACCATAAGCACCCTGTTCCTATAACAAAGTCCATTTCTTCAAACTAACTGACATTCAGACCTTGAGGATCCATTCCTTACCCTTGGTAGCTCTACTGTAGGTAAATTTTGACAATATTTCAGCAAGAAAACCTGAATTTTTTACCCGAAAAATTACCAAATCACACCATTTTGTTTCACATCATCATCGTGTTGCCTGACCCAGCCATTGTGGATATACTGATTAGCACTGAATTTCATAAAAAAACTACATTGGTTCAGGTCAAGGAACCAGATAACGTGCGCTGATCATCTTCGTTCACAGCTCTTCGTCGCCTCATTTTTTACGCTGAGGTTTTATCCCACAATATCCCTCAATATTCAAAGCCCTTCCCTCTGTTCTTTCTGATATGAAAGAGGACATTACTGCCAACTTAGGTAAGTTGTTTCGAAAAGATAGACTGTGTTTCCTTGTTTTAGGAACAGGGTGCTGGTAATGAACGCCTAGGCCTTGGCCAATGAGACTTGACAATACAATGTACGCTGTACCAGGTGACTATACTGTCATGCACATTACATGCATGCCCAGCATTTTGAGCTGTGATCATGCAGTGATGTTTTTGGATTTACAATAAAATGTAACATGTTTACGTTACATTAATTAAAATACACACGGGCCCCCTATGCAAGATACATGTGCGTGTAAATGCTTAAAAAGTACTCATGTACATGTACAGTAGTTTAGCACACTTGTTTGTCCATGTTTGTGATGAGACTGATATGACTGATGGAAACGCGGGCAAATGAGCATGATGAGGTGGGATATTACTAATGTAGCCTAAAGTCTTGCTGATTGACCACCAGCAGATCATGACCATTTGTCGAAAATAAGTACCTGTATACGTGTACATGTACAATTGTATAGACGTCTACATGTACAGTTATGTACATATGTAAGTGTTCGTGTACAGTTATGTACATGTTCGTGTACAGTTATGTACGTGTTCATGTACAGTTATGTACGTGTTTATGTACAGTTATGTACGTGTTCGTGTACAGTTATGTACGTGTTCATGTACATGATACATGTATACGTGTACAATACTGGTACACGTACTGTATGTGGATTTTCTACATGTACAATGTACAGGGCAATTTGAAACACTCAGAATTTTTTTCCCCCTAGACTTTAATCAAGACTTGTCAGAAATTGTAATTTTTGACGATCGTCACATCTGCTCATGAATGATCATTCTGAGATTTCTTTTCAGTTTGAAAGCACACGTACGTGTATACATAAACAATCGTGACGGTAAGACTTAGAGTTTATACTCTCAATATTCATCCAGCAACCTACATGTATATGAACATTGTATCCACCTGTTCCCCAGGACAAACTAAAAAGCATTTGTATGGGAAGTGACTGGAATCACTTGTATTAATTTACTCGTCTGTACACGTACATGCTCATTATGGGTAGGCTTTCCTGGATTAAGGTCAGCTTTTGTATGGAAATTTGGGACAGGTTGGCTACGAATGCATCCCCGTAAAGGAGGGGGTACATGTACCAGTAGGAGGTACTCCCCCCCTCAAAATACGGTAGGTGAAAAGATGAGTGTGTGTCTGCGCTACTTCAGTACAAGTTCTTGCACATGGTCTTCTCAGACCACACATACTCCAGAAAGAGATTGATACAATGTACACGGTGCAACCGCAACCATTTTACTCATGCATACCGCACATGTATGTGTTATACATGCACGTGCCTGTTGAGTGTACACGGTAGTACGCGTGTGTCACAGAAATGCATAGACCACCAGTCTTGCACGTACATGTATAACTGTGTTTTTAAAAAGTGTGGGTAAACAGTGGGCTAAACGATGGATGACAGCGCGTTCAGTCATGTCAGTGCGAAATACGCGTGATGCACTTAGATTGCATGTATTTGTTTGCGTGTGCTCTTAATTATGTTCCCTTTTTACTCTTTGCTACTGTTGTCTCTTCTTTTCAAACGTTGCAACCGCATTGTTTTGTTGAATCTGCAAATTGGCCAGATTAAGTAAACAGGAGTTTTTACAATCGAATGGCCTCATAGAGTTTTATGGCTGGAATTCTTCAACTGTGCATAAATTCCCTGTACCAAGGGGTGAATTTGCCCACGCTTTGGGATTTAATCACTTGCCGTCTCAGCGACGGTAGCCCACACTTGTTTGAATGGGAGCTGCCCGTCTATGGGTTTATATGTCTGTGGTGTGTACATGTACTTGTACAACTGTAGTACATGTACATGTATTTTACTGGTATACGTACATGTCCTGGTACATGTACATGTACATGTACATAAGGAGGCCTACAGTATGTACAGTACATGTATGTGTGCATGACCACGATACATGTTTATTGTGCATGTACATGTATATTAGAATTTCAAACAGAAAAATATGTAGACCAAAAATAAACTGGCAACATATACTTAACTACAAAACAAAAAAATCGTTTGACTGTCAGTAAAGCTCATTATGATCAGTGTCTTCCTTTCCAACCACAGAGTACATGAAACTTTCGAAAAGAAAAATACTGAAAAAAAACCCACAGGGATGGTGTGTTATTGATCCTGTTTTATTTGTGTGGGGGGTATCATGTTTCTGATGTAACTTAGTAGGAAGCTTCTACAGTGTGTATGTACATGTACATGTATGTACATGTATTTGTTGCTGAGGCATTTGCCACTGTGCAATATTGCATGTTCCGGGCCCACCTGGAGTAAATTTAAGCAAGGTACTGAACAACTCATGCTGTCCTTTCCTTGCCATGGCATCCCTAAACCCACTGTGTGTCGTTTTATTGCAAAATGAATTACATATTGCACCCATCATGTCCCAGGATGTTGGTGTAATCTCAAGCGTTTGTTCAGGATGGTGGGTGGTGAGGTTCTGCACCATAATTAGACCTGTTGGGTGACCCTGGGCTGTCTCATTAGCCACTTCCTCCCACAGGAAGTCTGCAGGGACTAGACCAAGGTTGAAGCACTCTGTTACAAGTCTGTGTCTGAAAACCAACAAGAAAAGCCTTGCTTGGTTCAGACATTTGCAATTATTTGGGACTTTTCGGTGATTGTTAATTTCCAGTATGTGCAGTCATTCCTGATATGTACTGGTAATGTACTGTACATGTACATGTAAATGTATGCACAGTATGTGTGCATACGTGTACTCGTGTATGAACCAACACGGGTATACGGTACAGTGTACATGTACATGTACAGTCATTTGCAAAACTTTAAGAAAATTCTTTTCTTTCCTACATCTCCATCATGTGAAAATAAGAGAGGAACAAATCGGGCAGTTTGGAGCACGTGTGGTAGGAAGAGCCGCCTACCTTGCTGTATTTCATCAACATTTCATCATCAACGAGACGAAACATGCGAGCATGAAGTGCTCTTAAATCATGCACTTTTAAGTTTATACATTTGTTGGCTTATTAGTTTGGATACTAAGTGATCAACATTTGATTATTTCATATGACTGTCTAAAAGGGCTCAATAGTCGTAAGGCAGATCATTAAGACTGCGGGGTTAATTAATTATAGGCCATAAGTTTCTGTAATATCACGCCGAACTCGAATTATGAAGATGACCAACAAACAAAAGACAGGCCGGTTACGGAGCCAGAAAAAAAATAGTTGCAATTAATACATGCAGCGGAATGGTGCCAAGACACTCCTGCGTTACACGACAGATTAATGGAGGTTCATTGGTAGATGAAATTAATACTTAAACATACATTATAATTGTATGATGTAAAGGCTAAAAGTAGTAAAGACGAATTACTTGGACATGCGCTTTGTCGTAAATTAAAAGTGACCAGTAATGATGGAATTTCATCGAGCATCGATATAAACTAGCAAATACTCGTCATTTTATTTTATTTTTTGGGAGGTCCTGTCGAAGACCCGGGAAGGTTTGTAGCTACCAGTAAGTGTAATTATAAACGTAAGTGTAATTATAAACGTAAGTGTAATTAGTCGCCTGAAAATAATTAGATACAGTAAATGATGTTGTGAGTATGATGAACTTATTAATGACTTAAGTTATGAAGTTATTATAAAGCTATCAGTATAGGGATTGATTGGTTTAGGTTTGGTTTTCCTTCAGGTTAATGCATTTTCTATGGGTTGGCCTAAACTTTTGCAAATGACTTTTGCAAAGGCCTATATGTACATGTACATGTACATTTACATGTGTACGTGTACATGTGCACATGCACATGTTTGTGTGTACATGTACATGTGTATGTGTGCATGTGTACATGTACTCTGTATGAGTACCATGTACCCGTATGCTGGCATATACGTACATGCACATGTAATAGTAAAGACACATGTAGGCATTTATAAATTGGAAGAAGCAGTCTTGTAAAAACTGGTTTCTGTTCAGTAAACTTTATTAGCTACGGGACCAGTCATCCAGGGACCTTTTCAAGAAGTTCAGCCTAATTTAAACCCAGGCTTGTCAATGCTTGTGTGCAAAACAGGTACACCACATGAACATAAAAACGGCACAAACTTTTACAACAGAACTTTAAGTGAAAATTTCCAGAAGTACATGAAGTATACTAGGCTATTTCTCGCTCACCTGTGCTGTACACTGTACATGTACATGTATTGTACAATGTACATGTACATATGAGTACATGTTTTCAAAATGCTCCCATTTCAACATGAATCGCTCTCCTGGACTGAAATTTCGACTGAATGTCCCTTATATGAAACACTTCATTTTGCGACGGATTCTTACACATTAAAAATTTCTCCTCTTTGAGCAATTTCCAAATATCAGTTTCGTGAAATCCTTGTGGAGACCTACATGTATTCGCCGTTAGGAATTCCTGTGGAGACCTACATGTGTACGTACTCAACCCCTTTTTTCTGGGTCTCCACAAGGCACCATTCAGTACATGCACTTCAGCACACCCAGGTTCACTCAAGTTTATATTCATTCTCAAACACTGGGCTAGTGCAGGCTTATCATGTTGTGCCCATGTACGGTTTGCACGTGTACATGTACATTTATGTATGTACATTTTGAATTGTACTTTTTATGCCCGTTTTCTTTGTCTGACTTTGTTTATATATGTTTCTTACATGTATTGTTTTCATGTACCCATTTCTATTCAACAGCTGGTGGCGTAGGCAAAAGTGCACTAACGATACAGTTGATTCAGAACCAGTAAGTACTGCACTAGTATGTTTTATACGATTTTTCTACCATTTTTTTGCCAACAGCCGGTGGTGTTGGGAAGAGTGCCCTCACGATACAACTCATTCAAAACCAGTGAGTGAAAACTTTCCCCATCATGGCTTCATTCCTTGCACTCTTGTGCCTTCTCCCTTCTGCCATTGTGTCCCATTCCTGACCCCTGTGCCCTGTTTCTCACCCTTGTGCCCCATACTCACCCTTGTGCCCATACTCACCCTTGTGCCCCATACTCACCCTTGTGCCCCATACTCACCCTTGTGCCCATACTCACCCTTGTGCCCATACTCACCCTTGTGCCCATACTCGCCCTTTTCCCCCATACTCACCCTTGTGCCCCTACTCACCCTTGTGCCCATACTCACCCTTGTGCCTCATACTCACCCTTGTGCCCTATTTCCTCACCCTCTGTACCAGATTGGTAAAAGTATTCATAGTTCTGGCCCATTTCTCTGGTCTCAAGCCCTCATGAAACATTGCTCTTTTTTGTACATGTACATGTTCAAAAAAGGGGGGACAGTAGGGACGCAGTGATTAGCCAAGGTCGCAATACACACAAACAGTAACCACCTGCTTAATTTGAAACCCCCTTCCATCTTATAACCGTTGGGCCACACAGGCTCTCTGCCGTGGTATCCCATCCCATATACATGTACCTGTATGAACTCCATGACCTCCTGTTCTTCCGGCCCCAATCCCTGCCCTGGCCCCTCACATTTGTATTGTCTCTTTGACACGTTCATGTACATCTAGTTGCTGGAAAACATATTGTTATTGTTATTTCATGTCTACATTCTTTTCTGTCTCTTTCCATTTCAGCTTTGTGGATGAATATGACCCAACTATCGGTGAGTTGTTGAAACCCTCCTCCCCCTTTTAGGGAGGAGCTTTCGCTCAAAAACATCCCACATGTACATGTACGATACATTTGTACATGTATGTTGCATATTTTGGTTGACATGCTATGTCATACATTTACAACACACGAATAAATCCCAGTTACATGATAGGTGAATTGTGGATCACATGACAAGCTCCACTTTTGTCAAAGGGAAATGGTTTTGTTTGGTGACAGAGAGAATGTTCCATTCTACTCGTCTTCACTTTGTAGAAGAGAACACGTAGTTTGTCACCTCATGAAATAAATACATGTAATATTGTTGTGCTCGGATACATTCATTACATACACACTTTCATAAAATTACGTTGCGATACTACATCTCCCACTGTACATGTAGTTGAAGTGCATAGGCCCACTGTTGCAACTTGTGTGCGGTACATGTCCATGGCAAATTGAAACCAAAACATACAAAAATTAAAACAATACCAAATGAAACCCAAAGCAGAAAGAGATTGTAAGCAAGGAAGCGGCCTTGAGCAATATCACAACAAAAGCCCATTGTATCAAGTGTTGGCTTTGTGGACGACTCGGTAACATGACTGTGAAGTCTTTCTGTAACCGTTCCCTCCCCATCAATCATCAATGTAGCAGTACATGTACAGTAGGGACCATTAGTGTGATTGCATACATATACATGTATGTACATGTATATACACACATACCACAGTAGTTTGTAGGTTTTTGAAATAACTGCACAAATCGGTGATGTACATGTAACCACTCAGTTTTCCCTGTGCTGCACACAGTACCGGTATGTACATGTATCCTACATCTGTACCATCTGTAATGGTCCCTATTTACATGTCCATAAATTACCCTCAGTGTCATGTACATGTACTACTATTTCAGATTTGATGTCAAGCACATGTACTGGTACCCGTGTTTTTGTGGTCCCTTACATGTATTTATCTTATTGAGCAGCAGTTTACTAATCAGGAGATTTTACTTTCCTGTACATGTACATGTTGGTAATGGCAATAGATCAATGCAGATATTATCAAGAATTTTACACACAAAGTGCAGTTACAAGTATGTACATGTACCTTTAACTCGGGGTCATCCTTGTTTTTTGTATCATTTTACATGTAGTCGGGAACAATAAATACTGTATTATTATTCTTCCGACTCATTTCCCCCTCCTGAAAAAGTATGCAAGAAAATGATAATGGCGGAGCCTCATTTGCCTTCAGATAGAAAAATGCCTCTCCCCCCAACAAAAAACTGAATGCCCCTTTCGTACCATCCAGTTACATGAAGTGCATCGTGAATTTGTTGTTGTCTTTGTGACTTCGTTTCATGTACCAACTCAAACTAAATTGCAGCTGATCAAGTTTCTTTGGTGATTTGATCGCATTGCAGAGGATTCTTATCGTAAGCAGGTGGTGATTGATGGAGAGACGTGTCTTCTGGACATTCTGGACTCTGCCGGTCAAGAGGAGTACAGGTAGGCCAGACTTTCTTGCATTGGTGTTCAAATTGACTGGCTGCAGTTTTGTTTTGAAACAATATACCACGGTTTGGGGGATTTAGCGTGAGCGGATTACCATCGGGGACAAAAGCGCTCGACCACCACTTTGATGAGCCACACAGTACCCCTGCATGCTAATCTGGCCCCTATTGAAAAGAGGTCAGCAGCACACTGTGCCAAGTTCGTGAACAAAAGAAAGTTACTTAACACCGCACAATCTGGGCTCTTTTTACAAGGCTGCAGGCCTGGCTGAAATACTCCGCATCGATGGATTTTGTCTGTCAAATTAGAGTAGCGACCAGACAGTCATTAATGTGGGTGTAAACGTCCATTAATTGAAATAATGAACTTTTGAAGAATTTTGAAAACTGAAATCTTGAAAATGTCCCGAGTGTGTGCACTGCATTTTTCAAACCACCAGGTAGCAAGTGTTAAAACTCTGGGAGTTGCATAATTCTTTAATTCTTTCTATTGTTTGCTTGTATGGTTTCTACAGCGCCATGAGGGACCAATACATGAGGACAGGGGAAGGCTTCCTTATCGTTTTTGCCGTCAATAATCGCAAGTCCTTCGAGGATTTCAACCTGTACTGGTCTCAGATTTTCCGTGTGAAGGACACAGATGAAGTACCCATGGTTTGTAAGTAGCTAACCATTCAGATTTATGTGGTAATCGATATTCTTATTCCCAATACAAATTTTGTAACACCTCAGCCACAGATTGGCTGAGCAATTTTAGCTATCTTGCTGTGCACAGCCAAAAGAACTGCAACCGTAGCAACCAAAAAACTACATGTATATGCATGACCACCGGCATTGTATGCAAATGCATACTTTCGCACACATTGCTAGTCATGCGCATTCAGAAGTGCTAGTGCCACACAACTGGGTTCAAATATTTTGAGAAGAAATAGATTGGAACATTGCTGGCAAATTTCCAACAAATTGCGTATTCATAGAGATACATTTTTGTTTGTGGTAAGATCAAATTAATCAGTTTTATCTTAAATAAAGCAGACTCTGTTTTAGAGGGGGGTATGAAAGAAATACTGACTGCTCGATCTTGTGGTGTAGTAAAAGTAGTCTCCCCCAGTGATCCATGGAGTGTTCCATATTCCCGCAGCTACACCTCGGGGAAATAGATTTCTCTGTGGATCATTTTTGGAGGCACGTTTTTACTACACTCCAAGATGAAGCAGTCAGTATTTTCATGGTATTCACTGCAGGGCTGTAGCTAGAAGTATCTGCTTCGAGCAGAAACCACCCCGACATTTGTTGAAAAGAGCTACATTGGTCAGGAGTATTGATTTTGTTGGTAACGAAACAACTGCAGCGCTTGTGTTTCCCAGTTGTTTGTGAACCGGCGATGTGTAGTTAGTACCAAAGGAGTTGTCGTTGCTTAGGAAATAGCACCCTCTCTTGGCCTAGCTCAAGGCCCATAGCACCAGTTGTTTTGAGGCTGCATGACTTAGCCGGTGCAATATCAGCTGCACAAGGGGGCTCAAAATCGTCTGGCCCATTCTCTGCAAATCTACACTTTCTCATCCTTTCTCTGCAACTTCACAGCTTTTCACACACTTTCTATTTTTCCCCTTTGTGCCAACTGCAGTGGTAGGGAACAAAATCGACTTGCCAGAGAGGACAGTTGCCACAGAGGACGGTCTTGCGATGGCCAAGAGCTCGGGCATCCCGTACATCGAGACGTCAGCTAAAACCAGACACGGAGTGGTAAGACACATGACAAGGGATAGATTTGTCACCACTTTCATCACAGAGAAAAAAGGAAGAGGAAATCTGAATCCTGAAATCTGAAAGGTTGCGTGTACACGTAGCCAAATTGGGAATACTTAAAGAGTGTATCAAAGAGAGGTCACCCTGACTTGCCCTGATTTTAGCCTTTTTTTTTTGTCACCGTTACTTTTACAGGATGATGCATTCTACACTTTGGTGCGAGAGATCAGGAAAGATGTGAGTCCTACCTGTTGCCGTTGCATGTCTTGTCGAGAGGCTATAATCAAAATTTCCACACATTTCCAAGAACCAAGAATTGTTTTGGGAAAAATTGTGACATACAAAATTTGAGGGACCATTTCATTTGCCTTCCTTCAGAAAGCCTGTAAACAGCCCCCCCAAACGCAGCCACATCCCTCAGAAAGGCCACAAAATGTTACATGATAACAACTACAAATTCCCCCCCCCCAAAAAAAACATATTTTTGCCTCTCTCCCCAAAAATTTGGTTTTGGATCCATCCTTGCTTCTGCCAAGCTGATTGAAATTATGTTTATGTTTATTGTGTACAGCTGCCAGATCGAGGCTCTGCATGCCTACCATGGCAGCTTCAAAGAGCGAACAGGAACTGGCTGTAGCCACTACCGTAGACCAATTGCGTAATTTCAGGCTACAGCCAAGTAATTCTGGCGTGGCCTAGTCTGGAGCAAGGAGAAAATTGTTGGGATATATTCATTCTTGAATTTGTTTTCCTCCTACAGAAAGAAAGGCGGAATGCCAGCAAGAAAAAGAAGAAAAAGAGCAAGGGAATGAAGTGCATTTTGGTCTAAGGGAGAAGAAGCGGACTTTTCCAATCTTCACTGTGTCGATAAACAATCTCAAGACGGGTGTCCAGCCTGTCATGTATACTTGGAGACTCCAACCAATCTTGTGTTCGATTTGGGGGGCAGCAAACACAAATCTGTGCAGTGCGGGCCCTGTATAGAGGCACAGGTCTGGCCGCAGACTGCGTAGCTGTTTATATTGTTCAAAGATAGTTTGAATCGGATATCCTTCCGGGGAAGGTGTACAAGTTATCTTGAGTAACACTTTCCCTCTAGCTCTCGATGACGGGACCGGGTCTTTGGCCCTCATGCACGAGTTCATGTTTTGGAGAAGGGACGCTGGTTTCTGAATTGTGTATGCCCTCATATTGAGACAGGGACGACTTGGGCCCCTTAAATTGTAAATTGAATTCCCTGCCTTACTTCTCTGACAGTTTAGACATTCAGTGTGCGTGTAGGACTGGTAAAGTGGGGATTGTTGGTTGAGGTGCATATGGATAAGTCGGTAAGAAGGCTAAAAAGAACTAGTCCAGTGAGAGTTCCTTCTTGGCGGGCCCGAGGCTGTGTCAGAATGGAAGGCACGGGGGAGAATCCGGTGTCTGTTTGCTGCCCCCTAGAGTTGGAAACTTCTGCCGGTAGTTCCATATTCATCCATGCAGGGTTCGGTTGAAAGGTTGGTTGTGTAAGGGTCAGTAACCCTAAAAGAGCCGGAAGGGGGAGGGTGGAGTCTGCCTCCCTCTGCATCTCTAGGAATTTTTGTCAATAACTTTTTGCAGTCATTTTGATCTCAATTTTGTGACATTTGAACATACCGTTCTTGCACGGTGCCCATTTTGTTCAAACAGGTCAGCCCAAAATGTGTACTCTTCCACTGCTGTGCTCAGTGCATGCAGGCCGGGTCACATGTAGCCTTGACCTTCAAATGACGTTAGCAAAAGTAAATACCAGACTGGTTTGAAACTCCACAAAGGTAGTTATAGGGAGTGACTTTACCACGCATTCCAGGTTTGTTGAAACGCTAAGTGCGAGAGGGGCGAGCTCTTCAGGAGAGACACCCCCAGCAGCTTTGAGATGGTCCGAAATAACCCGGCTCTTTTAGGGTTGAGCAGTGTGCATTTCTTGCATTGTAACATTTACTGTTTTCCTGAAAATGAAATTCACTTTTGCTCCTAATTTTGTATATATTTCGAGCACAAGACAACCATCAAGCTCTACACTGTACACAAGAAAACTTGACCCCTTTTTGTTAATCTCCTTGTAGGGCCTTCGTGTGCACCCAATGGATTTTTGAATGTGTTTGTATTTTTGATGCCACATACCAAACTAGATGACCACAGTGATGGTGTTGTGTCAGAGCCAATTATTTACCTATGCCCTTGAGAATAAATCAGTTGGAAAAACAGTAGCTGCTAGGGCACCTGTAGATGCACCTGTGTGGATCGTGGGAGCTGTTTCTTTATTTCTGTTGGCTCTAGTTATTTTTGCCTTGGTCAGTATTCCTATCTGTAGAAACCAATCCAGGATGCACGGCACGAAGGCATCACGGAATGGTCCTGTGCTAGGGCAAAGTGGCCTGCGCGATCAGTGCACCTTTGACCTACGACATGGTTACCTCCCGTGGTACTGCAGGCAGGCCATATGTAAAGAGCTTATAAACCAATGCAGGGGTGCAGAATCATTCTTGAATGTCCCATATGCACAGGAGAGTAGTGGGTGTAACAGAAAGTAGTATTGGAAAGCTGTATTGCTTTATAGGGCTGCCAACACCGAGTAAGTTTGAGCATGACAGAAGATGATTCCATAGCATAGGGAGCCCATTTCAGACTCGGACTTAAACCTTGTTTGCACAAAACCATTTGATGTCATCAACACCACCGGGATAAAAACTAATCAGATCTGTTTGTTTGTTACCCTACCAGAAACCAACTTACAGGCTGCAGAATGTTTTCATTCTGTGGTCAGGATAGGGTGTTGCAGTCACTGTTTTGATGATAAGAAAAGCCGTATTTCATTTATTTACCACATGGGTTGGAATTCCCATATGTGCACGGGAGCTCGAGGCAGACAATAACCTGAAATGCGCGAGAGTTGGCAGCCCTGCAAATACGAACATCCATCCCGTATAGAAGCACTTACTTCGATGACTATTGTTTCACTGGTGTACCTCATAGGAAGAATTGAAGGCATGATCAAAGATCTTATAGTGGCGCAAGACAGGAACTCTACCAAAAAGGTGTAATCACCGTGGGCGCCATTCAAACAAGTGATACGCCTGCGCAGTGGATGTTAATGCACAGGCGGAAATGCGCACACTCGTACCAGGTGTGCCTGCCTGGAACAGCGTCTGTGCATTAATGTGCGTTGCGCAGGCGTATTGCTTGGTCAAATGGCGCCCATGGTGATTACAACAGTTTACGTGCATTCACGGTGAAGTTCTCCATCTTGCGCCGTCACGCTGCAAGATCTGTTGGCATGATTGAGGCATGTCTACTCCACAGACTCCCAAATATCGTGCATTTGGACAGCATCTGCATTTCTAAATATCCAGTGATGTGTTTTATGTACATGTAACTCCCAAGACTCCCAGATATCGTGCATTTGGACAGCATCTGTATTTCTAAACTTCCAGTGATGTGTTTCATGCACATTTAACTCCCAAGACTCGCAAATATTGTGCATTTGGACAGCATCTGTATTTCTAAACTTCCAGTGATTTGTTTTATGCACATGTAACTGAGGGCACTTTTTTGCATCTCAAGTGTCATATTTCGATGCTGCACCCTGAGTGCAAGGTCATGTTTTTCCTGTGTCTTCACACCTAAGGAGGCCACTCACCGTTGTCAAGAATGCACAGTTTCTGATGACCAGTTTCTGTATTTCTGAAAAATCCCTCACGTTTCGAAATGTTTTGAAATGGTTTTGATCAGCATACCGTGGTGTTTGTCAATTCTAAATGTAAACTACCCGTAGAAAACCATTTTCATTTTTTGTTTATTGTTTTACTGCACAGAATTCTGTCCCTGCTCATCTGAGCAAGTGGAAATTAAAAGGTCATATTTGTAGGTCACCTGCATTGGTTTATTATAGCTCTTCAGTTTTCATATCTCTGAAGCCCTGACCATGACCCATTCATAAGCCCCTCCCCATGCTGCAGGCTGCTGTCATTCAACGTCTCGAGATTATTCACGGTGTTTTCTCCAGCTTAATCCAATTCCAAGTTTGTACGTAAACTCTTGAAGGTAATGTTATGTGCATACAATATATCACTCATCACCCTATTGTAAAATACAGTTGTGGAATAAGATATGAAAAAAGATAATGGATTTTAAATATGAGCATGATTGATGCAGTTTTCCCTTTTTCAGTAAAAGAAATTGCCACGTGTACTTTACATCTAGTACGTAGTCCAACTTTTCCAGAGTTGTTCCTTTTGTTTTCTCCACTTCAAAAGTTAGCCCAGATGATGTAAAAAATGTACAAAAATTAGACACTGGATGTAATTGTAACATTGTAGGTCCTATCTCACCTCTTCCTTATTTTCAGTTGCCATGATATTTTACTACTGTACAGAATGTTTGTGTAACCTGCCCTCCAAACTTGTATTTGTGGGGTAGAAGAAGTAATGTACAGAAGCAGGTGGAAATGATCTTCAACCTCCTTTAAAAAAATTAGAATTAGTAATATTTAGAGTTTTTCTTTGATCAAAGCGTACAGGAGTTGAGCTTTGTGTCCTTGAGAAGTCCACACCTTTCTGGCTCTGCTTTTTAAATTTTTAAGTTGTCACTTGTGGCTCGTGTATTTGCTAGCTTCAGTGTTTTTTTCCCATCTTTTTTCCCCCCAAATGAAGTGATCTATTTTTGTTGTTGCTTCAAAACTTAATCTGTAGTATTGCACGAGTATCCATAAACATTTATGTGTGCTTGTGTGTTACCATCTCTTTTCCTTTTCTTATTATTATGACTATTTTTAATGTGTAACTTTTTTTCTAGTACATGTACATGTGTACTTTTTTTCTCTATAAGTAAGATTGGCTGTACTTCACACTAATTTACGGTGACCATTAAAATACATGTAGTGTTTTTCTCTGTCAGCAAACTAGTGTCAAAGCAATTCAGTGAATTTGCTTTAATAAGTATGGGATTTGATACATACCAAACAAAGATGTGACACACTGGATTATTTGAGCTGTTTGTCAGTTATTGAACCTTTCTCGTGTCTGACTAAGCCTTATTCCTGATCCTGGAGCCATATTGTGTAGTCCTGAATGTATCATCCAGTTTGAAAAAGAACAACATTTTGTATCCTTAGCTTTTTATGACTGGATTAATAGTAATTGTACCAATCCTGGCCTGTAGTAGGAGATGGCCACCATATTGTGCTGTGCTGTAGTCAAAACTATTCCAAGACCATTTGCAAGGCCAAACATGACCATGCACAAGATTACATGTAGTCTCAAGTACCGGTAACAGGTTGAGCAGTGACAGGAATGATTTTGCGGCAGTTCACTTGAAATAGCCAAATATTGCAGCACCCTTTGATGGAGGGTTTGCGTGGCTGCCATCTTACAGGCTATTGCTTTTGTTCCACAGGGTAATGCACAAAGGAGGTGTCCCTGTGGAACAAAACAACTGCCGTGCAAGATGGCTACCGTGCAAAGCCTTGATAGGCACACACATAGCAAGTCGCAAGACTAGACTCGAGCAATAGGACAGTGGCAGGAATACTTTTGTTGCAGATCCATTTGAATAACTTGTGACTGGACTTCAGACTGAAGGCTTTGTGTTGGTCTCTTTGTGAAGTTATCAATAAAGTTTCAGTCAGAAGTCAAAGTCATGTACATGGCTGTGGATATTTGTCACATTGTCGAATCATGGCTGTAGCCACACAATTGCAGTCATGGCCATAATCTGCCCCATCCCCCCAAGATGCAGAAGATTTTGCAGGATGGACATTGCATGGAGAGGCCCCCCCCAAAAAAAATAAAAAAGAAAAGAAAGGAATATGAAAGGGGATGGAAATCAATTTTTTTGGATAAAACCCTTAAGTTGACCCACTCCCAGTGTTAATGATGTATTTGTTCATAGCTAATGAGTACTTTGCCCTCTCCTGGAAATGTTGGCCCTCGCACTGTGAGATATCTTGTCCAGGATTCCTGAAGGCTTCTAAAGAAAATCCTCCATCCGCTTTTCATTTGGGTGTTACACGTGTATTTTTTTTTGTTTTACACTCCCCCTGCCCCCATTATGTATAGACTGTTTGCAAGGAAAATTACAATGAAATGTCAGAAAAAAATGTATGCCTTCAAAAGTATTGAACTTTGTCGGGCCGGGGGATCATAGAGGAAGGATTTTTTTTTTATCAAGAACGCCTTCATCGCCCACTGACCAAATGAATTTATTTCTTTTAATGAAAGAACAAAAAACAAAGCTGCACGGGCAAAGCTGTGAACTTGATGCCCACTTTTGTGCAACATTGATTATGCTGAATGTTTAACCCTAACTCCCTAGAGAGCGTGCAAAATATTTTTTGGGAGGATTTTCTAACAGCATGCATGCGCGCGCTGCATGCAATGCACTGTACGTGTACACGTACACCTGGCGTGACGCGTGGGCAACGTGAATAATGGTGGCGCTCGTGATCAAACTCGGTCAGAGTTGACGTATGTCCCAGCCGGTAAAGTGTTTGGGCAGGTTCAGTGGCCATGACCGACAGTTAGAGGCAAGTCATGCCAGGCAATTTGCACAGTGAGCCGTAGTGCTTTTGATTTTGTCATGCTGGAGCTAAGTACACATTGGGCCTAATCATCGAACAAGAAGTTTACGTAAGGTAGTGTGGGGTTGCTGTTGTGTCAGTGGACAGGTGGGCCAAAGCAGCAGCTGAAGTGAAGTCGAGAGAGACGTGTACTGTGTAAATGTACAGGAACCGGTAAGGGGCTTTGCTGTTTATTATGAAAGTATTTTTTTACCGATCGAGGAATTCCATGTTATATAACCTTCAAACCAAGGAGCTTAGATTGAACATTCATTTATTTTTTGTAAAATGTTAACAATTTAGGCCTAGGCCTAATTTTATTTTCCAAACATAACCTACATCATAGTACATGTACATTTAGCCTATTGTAGGTACCGGTACGGCGGTAGGCCTACATGTACATGTAAGTAAAGATCCGGACTTGAAGTTGAATTTGCAGTTGACAGACTGTACATGTATCACTGGGAGGCCCGAAGATGTAAAAACCTTTTGGGCCTAGCACAGTGCTATCATTTGTGTCCAAGTTCTTTCAACCGTAGCACAGTATGCCGCATTTATAAACAAATATGTGGGAATTTACGTACAAAGTTACAAGTACTTGAAGTACGCCTGTGTACCATAACTTAACACTACAGATCACATTCACAGTTAGGCCTAAGCCTATGTCAATCAGTATTAATAATTATGGCGTGGCTGTTGTTACGGCAGCCGTCATGCGTCCCCCATTTTTTATCGTTACAACACTGCAACTGCGCAAGCACGCCAACTTAAGCGCAGATTTCGGACTTTATTTCCACTTAAAAACAAATCCTCCAAAGCCTCCAATGAAAAAAGAAGAAAGATTCCTGCCTTGGCCTATACAAACATAAAAAAAACAATTATGATATAAAACGTGATATTTAGGCAAAAAAAAAAATGGTCCAAGCGCAGATTCGAACTCACACACCAGTGGTTTCAAACCTTTCACCTTGACCACTCGGCCACAAGTGTCTAGTGATCCACATAATTTTAAAATATGATCAGCTACAAGTATGTCATTGCACTTGCGCAGTTCAGTGCCGTAACGAAAGAAGATGAGAAATGCGTTACGACTGCCGTAACGATAACCACTCCGTAGTAATGACAGGGGTGGGAGAAATCAGCTTTTTTTGTTCAGATGTTGACCCTGAATTTCAGCTTTTTTGTGCGCCTGCTGTCACGTATATACATGTACATGTACGTACAATTGATGGGGACTTCTTACATTTCAACTTGTTGCTAGCTGTTTTCAGCTTTAATTTTACAACGTACATGTAACTTAGCCACACTCACACCCCTGTAAATTGTAATTAGCTCATCTGAAAATAAAAGAACTAGTTGAACATTTAACGTATTTCTTTATGTTAAAAGCAACTCTTTATCTGATAGCTTTGTGAGCCTCTCAAAGCGAAAGCAAAGCCACTTACTGTACATGTACTGTACCTTGATCGCAAGTGTTCAGTTTACATGCACATACATGTACATGTATGTAGGCCTAGTCCAATCAATTCACGACTATGGAGATGACCGATGATTGCTACAAAGAACTCTTTTCATCACTTTTGGTAATCCGCTAACAATGGGCGCGTACGCCGGGAGATTTCCATGTATTTTAGATGTGAAAGATAAACCCTATCAATGAGGCCAGCTCGAAAAATATGCGATACATTTGTGCATTGACAAACGTGAAAGTACCAGAAGACATGTCACGTTTTTAAGACATGACAGATAAGCCTATTGAAGTGTTCACCTTTTCCATTCCATGAAAAAGGTTTCACGTCTCCGGGCCTCACAGTGCATGTTTTGTCATGCTTTTATTTGTGAACATATTTTGTCATCATGGACTGATAATGGATAGATTCCAGACATGTACATGTACATGTAAATGTATGTCGAAGAACACCAGCTGTAGACATGTATGAATTTACATGTATATGTACATGTACATGTGTGTCATGAATTATATGGTGTTACCGTGTAAATGTATGTATTTTTAACAGATCTAATGTCAATAAGCCATTTGCAAGTTAAATTTGAATAAAATCTGGTGCACTGAGTTATCTGACTGCACATAAACATAACACTTTGATTTCCCCAGACTAAAGACACTGTTGCTATGTACCTCGTGATTCGGGGCAAGCTTCGGTATAGCGACCACCATCTCTGGAATGGACTGGTTCCTTTGTGCCCTTCATACCGCGTCCCAGGGTTTTAACCATTGAGAATAGTGTATTGTTGCAAGGCATCTCTTATGTAACTAAGTAAAAGCTTGCCCCGAATCACGAGGTATACATGTAGCAACAGTGGTTTTAGTAAGGAGAATTCAAGTTGTTATGTTGAGGTGAATTTGAAGAACTCAGTGTACCAGATTTGGGTCAAAGTTAACTCGCAAAAGGCTTATTGTCATGAAAATGTTTTCTGTCTACCTGTACAGTTTAAACTACCATGACATTGCATTTTTCTATCATGATAGCCATCTGGACATGATAGAGGGCATTGTGTAGGCCAAGCCTACAGTGTGAGCATCCAGTACATTACATGTATGTGGGGGAAAGGCTAGAGCAGATCATTGAGCAACCTTTGCTATGGCAAAGTAAACACAGCCAAGTCCATTCTCAGTTACTGGTTAGGATTGGTACTTGAGGTCCTGTAAGTCTTTAGCAAAGCATTGTCATGCATTTCAGGGTGTTATCTGCCAAGGTACACATGCACGTCTGCAACCTTCCAACTTTGCACTTTTTACAGTGCTTGTACACTTATGATGTGCATGTACGTCCATGACTCCACTAACATACAAACGTTCTATTAATTAAGTTACACCTGCAGTGAGTGAGTGGTATGGGAAAAAGAAAGAAATTAGGTCTTTTTACATGTATTTGTGGATAGGGTTGTACCGGTATACATGTACATGTACATATACTTAAAAAAGGGGAACTGACGTGTACAGGTGGGCCTTGTCCCAAGGCATGTGGGTATGATTAACCCTAACCCCATGTAGCCCTTTTTACCAGGGACCCTCCTCAATCCTCCAGAATCCTCCAATTGGGGGGGGTTGAAAAATTGGATTCGCCCGCGTAAAAGCCTTCAAAATATCTTGAAAAAGTTACTTGGGAGGTGTGCCTACTGCCTCAATCCTTCAAAATCCTCCAAGCAATTCCTGTCAGTATGTTGAGGCAGTGCGAATGGCATTTTTGAGCAGTGTGGTTTATTCAAAAGAAATATTGGGCTGAATTTATGCATGACTAAATGAAAACAACACAAGGTCTAGCCCACGACCGTCATGCATGGCATCCTTTGCAATAAGCCACGCACTTTTGCCATACATTCACCCTCAATCCTCCAAAATGCTGCAAAACCACCTGAAGGATTTTGGAGGATTGAGGAGGGTTAAGATTATTGTTACTGGGACCTACATGTACGAGTTACATGTACATGTACCTACATGTACATGTACACTGTATTTACCGTACATGTATATCATTTCTGATGCTTTGGTTGCTTTTTTTTTTTGCAAGCTGTAGATTTTTTTTTCACCATTAACTGGTCCTTGGTGGTCTGACTGATGCTGTACCATAGGCGGAAAGAGTGTTGCATCCAGCTGTTTTTTTATTTATTTTTTCCCAAACCAGGAATTGCAAAATAATTTTAAAAGCATGTTATAAATAACTACAGACTTAAATTGACTGACTCAGGGACACAACTCATACATGTACCATGTGTACTGTACATGGTGGTTTTTGTTCATTTTATTTGGACATCAATTGATGTGCAAATGCAATCTTGACACATTCATTTCTGTTATTTGTTTAAATTTTATCTGTATCAGTTAATTTCTTTGTCCTTTTTGTACATTTACATGTACATGTAACTAAAGGCATGTTTTTGGAGATAAGGCCATGTTTTTGCAGACACTAGGAGATACTAGCAAATGAGTTACATGTATTCAAACCCAACCTGCTTCTCTTCTGCCATTTTAGCGACTTGATCATATTAGTTCTGCTGCTTGTCAGATCAAAACCTTTCTTACATATACGTTGCCGAAAAATTTTCATGAAACCAGCAAAATCACTGTTTAATTTTAAAAATTCCCACCCTAAAAGTTTTGACCCAAAAACTTCAGAACAGAAAAAAGAAGATACTACCCACCTGCCCATCCTATTTTTCTTTCAGGTAATACGCGTACCAGTACGTGTAGGAGGCACAACTACATGTATTATTTGGGGGTTTTTTTGCCTGTGGATAGTACTACATTGTACAAGCACAAGTACAGTAGTGTATATGCAAATACACTTTTTTTTCTTTTGTTTTTTTCTGAGCCATGGATACCCATTCCCTACCTGCATAATTTCTGACGGTCCCTACTTTTGAGGGCACTGTGGGATTTGCATTTGTTGCCTGCGCTTAACATGCTTCACCTAGGATAAGACCTTCCCCAACCACACAGAATTAAACAGTAGTAAAGTGTTTAATTCGGTGGGGATAGGTCTGGTAGGCCCATAACAGCTGGCTTTTGCATTGGGTTTGGCATACCTCAGAAAAACAAAGTCCAACAGTCTCTGCGCACAAAGTACTTGGTGTGAATGGGGAAGGTCAGGGCCAGCAACCCTTAGGGGGCTAGGGTTAATAAGAAATTTACAAATTCACAGTAACCGTGGTAACTGTACTGGTTCCCTACAATACGAACACAATATGAAACAAAAGACAAAGGTGGGGTCCCAGATTACTTCAATGACTGATTTGACTGGTGTAAGCAATGTCTTGGTAACTTTTGGTGTCAGTACATTTACCGGTAGTCCTGGACCAAATTCATAGGATCAAAGTAACATTGACCTATAAAACCAAATGTACAGTGTACATGCAGCCCACTGACTGACTGACTGACTGAGGAAAGTGCTGGTACACTTTCCTCGGTGAGCTACAATGTACACTCATTTTTTCATTGTTTTTTTTATTAACTACAGATTTGATAGTCTACGATAACCTACACCGTCTACGCCATGGAAGAAGTAGACATAGATGCCGCAGCGGTAAGTTAATGAGAAAAAAAAGGTAGCTCCTTCATGTTAAATCAAGACACTCTTCAATTACATTGAGATATACGGGTACCGGTACATGTACCAGTACTCGGCAGAAGGAGACTTGGAATACGTGAAAACATTTTGAAGACACGCAGGTACATGTAGATGTAATTAAAGTCAACATGGCTGTTGTTATGCCAAGATGCAGTGAAGTACAAATCCACGGGGAGTGGGCGCATGTATCCTTCCCCACTTTTTGATGGGGAGTGGGCTATGAGCCCCAAAAGACCCCTCTTCTTTTTGATGTACATGTAGAGAAACCTTAAAATGTGTATTTTAGGTTATTTGAAAACAACCTGTCCAAAAACTATCTTGATATGTGCAAATGTAGGTTTGAAAGTTTTATGCAAATAAACATCTGGATTGTAAACAGTGCCCCAGTGTTCTCCATGAGGGGTTTTAGCAGGGAGGGCCGCCCTGCCAAAAGTTGAGACCGCCCCACTAAAGTTTGCTGCCCCGCCCAAATTCTCTCCGCCCTGCTATTTTTCAGTTGGATTTTCCTTATTCTCCACCGTCTTCACAGTTTCTAAATGCAAAGAAGTTTACGGCACTTTATGGAACGAACATGATGAGTTTGCCATCATTAGTCATCATTAAAGAAAAGCACTTTGCACCATGTTTAAGGCATGTTCTTCATAAAATGGACCAAAATGCAACTCCCGCTGTCATTTTTCAAAACTTCTAAAAGAGTGGCTTTGATCATGTAAAATACAAATTAGCACTTTCAGATTTATAAAAATGATTATATGAGGATAATTGGGCATAATATGTACTTATGGTGGACTGGTTGGCTACCAGTGCAAATCAAATTGAGTTGAATTCATTTAAAGTTTTACATCAAAGTGTTTACACCAGAGGACATGATTTCTAAACTTCTGACAACAAGAAGGAGAATTCAGTATATTTTTCGACTGCTGTATTTTAAAGCATCTAAGAAATAACTTTTAAAAAATATAAGCCTTAAAAAAAAAAAAAATTGACGGAAAATGATGAGAAAAGTTTGGCTCTCTTCATTCTCTTACCGTTTATAATCACTCTCACTATACCAACATATCTGCCAGGTCTCGTATCTTTCGACCACCAAAAATTATCTTTAAGTTTGGCTGCATCAAAAATGTATGATGAGTACATGTACATGTACAATATGTTTGTTGCGAATGTCATATTTGACAGAATTTTTGATGACGTTCGAGAAATTTGACAGAAACTGCATGACGTTCAAGAATGGCAAAAATGCTGTCACATGTAGTGCTCAAAATTTCTATTGGCAATTTTTGAACTGCCGTTTTCAGGAACGTACATGTACTTGTAGAAAATGTGATCGGTCCAGTCGTAAAAGGATGATGGTTTGGCAGTGCTTTTTTGCACTCTATTTTAAAGCTTGTGTTGTACATCGATTTATGGATTTTACTCATTTTTTTGCAGTCAATTTTTTTGACACTAATGACAGAATCGAATGATATTCGCAACTGCCGACTTCGGGACCCGATTAATTGTGAGAGGTTCTTTTTAATTTTGTGATTATGGTTTTAATATGTGTAAATATTATCATCTTTCACCACATAATAAGTCTGTTTAAAATAACCTTGGGGATTATCACTCCTCAGTAAATTTGATTGGCTGGGACTTAAACAGGGAGTTCATGTCCCTCATAATTGCTAACGTTCGAGACTTTAATTAACTCCAATTAAGTTGAAAGGTTGACACGGTCATCATTGTTCCAGATATCAGCCATGACTTCCCTCATTACATCAAACATTGGAAATTAAATCACTGCTGTTCACTTCACGAAAACTGAACCCCCAAAGTTGAATATTATCTACTGGTCCATATTTTGAGGAACCTGCCTTTAATCACAATGGCTTTTGGAGTTTCCGTTTTTTTGTAAATTGGCCAAAAACTAAACACATATTTTTCCTAATTTTGGATTACACCATAAGTGCACGCACGTACATTACAGTATGTTGCAAACTCAACTGCACGGGCATAATAAGTGTACGTGTATTTGACGTTATGAGTTCGTCAACTGGGCAGCGCAGGGAATAGTCAGTGATTGCTCGCAGTACGGCAAAAAAAACACAAGTCAAAACCTACATGTACACAAGTTTTACTTGTTAATTCATTGAAATTTTATTCATGAACTAATTTTCTCAAAATCTAGAAATTCTTAATTAGAAAGCCAGCTCGCTACAATCATGACAATGGCTCTGGCTGATTCTTTTACAAGAGAAAAATGTCGCTATTCGGAACTGGTTAAACCGACTCAGAACTATAAGTGTTGTCACTTCTGACGATCCTGTAAGTTCAGATTAAAAGCTTAGATTTCGAAAGTACATGTACCAATTTTGTAGTTTTTCCAATTATGTGAGGTGGATGACTGACCATATTTCACTGGAATTGTAGGATTTTGTCACTAGAGTCTGACCATGGAAGGTTTTTTTGAGATCTGGAATTAGAAAATGCCCCAGAAAAAAAAATCAACTTTTGATGACCTCCCAATTAGTAATCTTGCCTTCATTTCAACACGAGCAAATCTGATTCTAAGAGTCTTAAGAAAGTGCCCAGGAAATACCTTAGATTGCACCACAGAGCATCTAGAATCCCAAATTGTCTGTGGCCTGCTTAATGGCTTCGTAATGGCTTCATGCTCCGAGCTCACGTCATGTGCCGCCCTGCCACAATTTTAGGCTGTGGAGAACACTGGTGCCCCCTAGCGTATTGCCCCACCCCTCATGTTCTTATTTACACGGTGCAGACAGTTGTAAGATTTGGATCATGCCAGGAGCCCCTCAACCCCATTCTGATGTATGACACCGGTATTTTATTACGCAGGCTGGTGAATCTGTTTAGAGTTCATGTGGCACATACAGTAGGTGTTCTAACTTCTAATCTAATCTAATTTTTCTTTGGTGGGGGTTAAATGGTTTATTTTCCGTCCTGCCGGTAGATTGTGCAAAGAGCACGGAATGCCTTCCGAGCCAACAAGACCAAGCCCATTGCCAAGCGTAAACAGATCCTGCAGGCCCTCCTCCGTATGATCAATGAAAATGAGCAGAAGTTCGTGGACGCCCTCTACAAAGATCTGCGCAGGGTTTGCTACTTTTCTTTCTTTCAGATCGATCCTGAATACCTGCATTGTTACCAGTTTTAAGCACGTTTGCATTTAAAGTTGATCAAATTTGTTAATCAAATTAAGCATACATGTATCAGTCTCACCAAACAGTGAAAAATTTGTACATGTATGTAACTCGTGCAATAGCCCATAAGTTGAAAAGCCGTGGGGGATTTTTCTGTTTTCACAAATTCGTGCATTAGAAGACATGAACTACATGTAGTAACTTAAATGCCACTTCGGAAATGTTACAAACAGGGCACGCATGGTTGTTAAATATGACACATTACCAAACACAGATTCGTCACTTCGTCAAATCTTGGAGACTACACACATGACACAGCGTGCCACAAAAATGTAACCCCCTACATGTATGAAGCATTTACCTCCTCTCAAAACTGTTTTCAAAAATTGTTGATTTTGAGCTTGTTTTTCAGTTAGACTTAAGCTCTATACATTGCAGATATACAGTACATTGAATTGTGTAACACAACTCGTTTTTCTTCAGTTCAATTGTATATTTAGTTGGAACAGTTTACACGTACATGTACATGTACATTACAAGAGATGTGGTTACTCAGCTCAGATCTGAGCACTTTGTGTCTTTACATCCTTGAAATTTCTTTTTACCTGGACATATAGCTCTGAACTTGATTGAAGTGATGCATACATGTACTGCAGAAGGAAGTCGGTGGTTGTTCAATTTATTGTGCATTGTCAGAATTTAACGAGTTTGTTCCAGATAAAAATTCAGATAATTCTGATTGTACGTACTTGATGTGCAACACGCAAGTGTAAACATTCAATGTAATTTTTTCTTTCAAATTAATTGCAGTGCAGTGCACACATTTTCTTTGTCTTTAGTCTCTGTTTCTTTTGTCTTTTGTCGTTGTTCATTCCCTGTTGTTATTGCTCCTGAATGGGTTTATGACAGGACTCTTAAGGTTGGCTTCTGATGGACTTGATAAGAAATTTGACCAATGCCTGGACTAATGTATGTACATGTAGGTCAAAAGGCTTATCCCACAGATGACCTCGTAAATTATTACATTTAGCTTCACTCTCTCAATATCCCAACTTTTTGCAGAGTAAATTCGAGTCCATTGTGAGCGAGATAGACTTCACGAAGAACGAAATTATCAATATGCTCAACAACGTGGATGAATGGTCCAAGCCACGGATGGTAAGCAGGGAGAAAAATTTCTCTCCTTGATCAATCCAGGTGTACGTGTATTTATCAGAATCTTTGCAGTTTATAATGTGTTTACTGTGGTCAAGTTTGTGAAAAATACTGTTGCAAGTCACTCTTAGGCCTAATACAAGATGTGGAATTTGTAAAAACGAAAAAAGTCATTGGACGACTGGCCGGTAGTAAGTTTGCTAGACAGCTGGAAGGCCCGCTTTGCACTTCCTGTAAAAATACCAGCTTTGCCGTAGCCAGGCTTTTTTCTATGACATTTCTACGAACTTACACGTGCATGTGAGAACGGTGTTTCGTTTGGCGTGCCCTCACTCAAGATGAACAGTTTTGAGAATGAATTTTTAACATCAGTTCTTGACTGTTGCCTTGCCTTTGCTGAACAAGTAACGGTGCATGTATAATTTTCATTTTTACTTAGCAAGTTTGCCATGTTCAGCACTTCCACAAAAGTGGTCCTCACATGACGACCACACGGCATAAAATGCACGTGCAGTTTGTCAACTTTGTCAAGTTAATTAAACCTACTGTATTAAGAGCATTTAAAAGGCAGTATAGTATTAATTCTAAAGATGAATCACAAAAAAATAAAGTAGAGCATGGTTTGAACCTGCGATGAGCTCTGAATTGGTGCCCTACAAACTACATGTACGCGGCACGAACCCACCATATGGTTCTTCGCAGTTGTCAAATCGTTCTGGGGCACTAGTCAGAAGCCATAAAACCTGACACACAAATATGGCCAATGAACACGCCCAAAATACATGATGCAAACCGGGAAGTACTGAACAGGCATCGTGGAGGGGGATATGGCTTTTTTACACCTAAATAAAAGAAACCATGTACACGTACTGTCAGCTTTCATGATACACGTACATACGTGTAGAGGTAATTTGTTGGATAAGTGGTGATAGTGTTATGCGAAACATCAATTTTATTTATGCCTGTTCTCCAGGTTGAGAAGCCTCTGCCCATGGCAGGTACTCCAACTTACATCCAATACCAGCCATTGGGAACTATTCTGATCATCGGAGCGTGGAATTACCCCTTTCAGTTGATCTTGCATCCGATGATAGGTGCCATAGCGGCAGGTGAGTGCTCCCCTATTGACCATAACCCACTGAAGCTTGCCAAAGGGGCAAATGATTACTTCTAGAGGACCATACATCCCCTGACAGGTGCCAAAGGGGGCTAATGACTACTCCTAGTTGATCAGACATCCCCTGATACCGGTATTCATGGTATTTGTAGAAGATGAGGGACATTCTCTTTTAAAAATCTGATCCCCTCTGAAACCAGGACTTCATTTTATATCTTTGCAACAGGGATCGTGACATCAAACCGGTATGTTTGGTCTTTCAGTACTGCAGGTAGTATCTGCTCGACCTTGTCCTGTTAACTGTTTGTCACGCACTCCATCATGGGATGGAGGAAAGATTTAGGATTTGCATTAAGTCAGGCACTTGTGCACCTGTTTCCCTGCCATTGAAAACTGGAAAATCTAGCTTCCCAACTTGGCATAAGTAAATAACAGATTCTTGATTAACTTTATAAAAGTTGACATGTTGAGAAAGCGATAGGCATATACCCCACACGCTGTTTATTCAAGCGACAGTAATTGCTGACTGTGGGGGTGTGGCACTTATGTGTGTATACCTAACCACAACAAAATCCCATCATAAATATTACATTGGCTGATAAGAGATGCTCGAATTCCTGGTACATGTATGGCTCACGACTTTAGGTAGCTGAACTAGGGTTTACTGGTTCTGGTAGATGAGAATCGATCCTCAGCCTGTGGGGGTGGTAAGTAATCCTAGCAGTAAGTACATCACTGATGGGAGCCATAGCAGCTGTGAATACCCTTAGAAATCTGTTGATAGGTGCCATATAAGGGGCAGGTAGGTAATTCCAGAAATTAGGGGTCCCAAGTGGGACATTTTTGTGTCCCTGTTACATCTGACCTTCATTAACTGACTTGGAAATATCACCGGAATTGATTTCAAACTATTACTATTTGCATTAATTCATCACTCGTGGAAATTACAAAATGTGTTCTGAACTTACAAAATCATACATGTATGTCAGATGTGACAGGGACACAAAAAAAGAACCCCTAATTTCTGGAATCACCCTTGTCATGCTGGTACAAAACAGAAAAGTCAGGCTTACCGGTAGGTGCCATATGCAACACACATAATTGCTTTAGTTGACCACACAGGTACATGTACAGTGTACATGTACATGTGAACCTACACTGTGTATATTGTACATTACTTACACACATGTTCCAGTACATGCACATGTTCATGTACCGGCACATCCACTTGTACTCCAGGTGCCATAGCAATGTACATGCACATGTAGTTTTTATATACAGTAACTGCTATACAGATCCTTGTCATTTGATTGGTGGAACACGCATCATGTGACATTCATTATTCCTGCTATTCTTTCTGTGTCAGGTACTATTCGCCCATGAGCAGATGGGAAGATACAATGCTTAGGATCATGCTTGTTTCTACGACATGAATGGCCTCATCCCTCAAACGGGAGCGTAGGCGCAGCACGCAGCGCGAGCGCAACACGCAGCGCGAGCGCAACACGCAGCGCGAGGGCAACACGCAGCACTGATCGAAACCTGGGGGAGAATAAAATTTGGTCCGAAAAGCTCAGCTATTGAGATGTGAAATTGTTTGAAATTTATTTAAACATAAGTCAAATGACAAGGATCCATATGACATATATAAAACAATTGATGAATGTTTTTCCACTTGTGCAATGGTTAGCATATTTTCATGAGTTGAAAATGGAATGTCACCTTGTTGAATGGAACATTCCATCTTTCAACTCATGAAAATATGCTTACTATGGTACTTTCATTCATTATTTGTATAACATGTAATGGGTGCGTAACCCTTACACGGTACATTTACCGGTAGATACTGTAATGGCACATCATTTTGTTCAAAATTTATTCCAAAAAAGGGCAAAATTAAAGAAGAAACAGTTGGAAGGGAGACTAAATGATAATAAATGGAAAGTACACGCAATACAGACAATTCACAATAGTGCGCCCCCAAGAGTTTGCAACACGCTGGCCAATCACAATGCAGGAAATCTGTTGGCCCTTTCCAAACGCGCATTGGGTCGACAGATTTTGTGCATTATGATTGGCCAGTGCATTGCAAACTCTTGGAGGCGTACCATCGTGACCGCCTGTATTGATCCTACATGGATATAAACCAAACCGCCGCAGTGCAGGCCTTCCGGCCGGTACACGAGCTAATGACTGAAAAAATGAAAAAACACCTCACACAGCCCACGCCCAGTCCCAAATGCACACTGAGCTAAAATTACTGAAAGGTTTCATAGGAAAGTAACAAGCCGGTTCAACAACAGAATTCCACTTACACAAGATTAAAGAATGGCTACGCGGTACGCAGTATCCCATTATGTGTGGCCACAGGCAGGGCTCCTCATTGCCGAGGCCAGGCAATGGTATCCTCCACTGCTGTGACTATTACAAAGATAACTTAAATTGTTACAACACTGATTGATGACGTACTGGCAAATTGTTGACCAGGTTGTTTCAATAGAAGAAAAATGAAAGTACAAATAGTTTATTTTTGACACAATACCATAGGGTGTCTACATTTTTATTATCCACTGATGATGAGATGTTTCGTTGCTACGTAGGTAACACCGTCATCATCAAGCCCTCGGAAATTGCTCCTACAATTGCTGAGATGCTGGCTAAGATCATCCCTCGGTACGTGGATCAGGTAGGTTTTGAAATGTTCCACTTCACACGGCTCACTTGTAGGACCTTGCTCCGGGGATGTACATGTACAGTACAATGCCACTATCATGAGCACACAGCGGGGCCCACACAAAATCTACGGTATCTGCCTCAAGCAGAAGGGCGTCATCCCCCATCGGTTGAAAAGAGCCATATTGGTCAGGAGTGTTCATTTTACTGGTAGTGATACGACTGTCATACATGCATTACATAGTCATTTGTTGACTAGCAAATTCAGTTCCGACTAAAGGAGCATCCAATGCTAAGGAAATTGCACCCTCTCTTGGTCCAGCTCGAGGCTTATACGGGTAGCAGTAGGGATTTTCAGTTGTTTTATAGTGGTCAGATTGGCCCGTTCCTTCCTTTCGCCCACTCACATACGGTATGTGGCAGCCTGCCTCACAAATGTTTGTGCAAGAGGATTTTTTGGGGGCCAACACTTCCCCAGCAAAGAGTCAATTTGAAAAGCAGGAACACAAAGTAAAGATTACCCCGTCAACGTGCCATTCACGTAGCGTTACTTGATGGCCAGTCTGCATCATGGCGGCACATGTCCATGCACGCACACATTCACATGTACCCTGAATATGATATGGACCATGCCACACATTGATTGTTATTCCTTTGCAGGTAAGGTTTACCTCAGAGTTTGAGTCTTTATCGTCAGTCCCAACTATGTTTCATTTCTTTGAAGCAAATTTCAGTCTATGGTAGAAATGCACAGAAAACCAAGGAGCGTGTTTCATATACATGTACCTGGTTGATTGTTTGGTATTCGCTCTCTGCACGCTGCTGCCATAGGCATGCAGGGCCTTGAACTGGCAGCTTGTACAATCCAGTCAGAACCGCGTCAGCGCAGCTTTTTGAAATTTTATCCAATCGCATGGTAGAAGAACTAACGCAGCATGCGCAAAATTACTTACATGTAGCAACATACGTGGCCGGGAATCACTGAACTGGCCATATTTATTGTGTAAAGCACCCTGATCAAGGCTGTGCATGGCTATGGTGGTAGCGTGCAAAGAGCGAATAGCAGTGTTTACAATTGCGCCATTGTATTGTTCAGGCTGCAGTGCGTGCATTCAGTGACTTCCCTCATGCTTTACCTGTGGTTTCCCGAGTCCTCACAGGTGCTTGTGCAAATTGACATACACTGTACACAATCTGTGTTAACAAGCGAACAGTCTTGGTTATCGGAGAAAACTGGGCCAAACGATCATGCAGTGGTTAAATAACGAATCCAAACCTGTCAGAACTAAAAGACATCCGCTCACACATTTCAAGCGATTCTTTCATAGAACGTACCTGGTCTGAGCTGTATATTTGCAAAACTTGCAACGTGTTTCCTTACATCTTGAAAGCAACATCAATTTTCCTTTGTATTATTCGATTGTTTAAGCTGCCATTTCATGCCTTCCCCAAGCAATCGGCTCAGCAAGTAAGTTACCTAGGCAGGGTTGTAGTTGAGACCATCAGAAGACCATTCACAAGATCAGACGCAAGACGTGCCACCAGACTGGTCGTAGTCACATGTAATAGATCGAGCTTTGACAAGTGAATGCTTTTGGTGCGTTTCATTGGAGAGGCATGGGACTTGAATTCAGACCAGAGGTCTTGTGTTGGTCTTGTTGCATCTTAACCCTAACCTTCCCCAACCACACAGAATTGAACAGTAGTAAAGTGTTTAATTCTGTGGGGATAGGTCTGGTAGGCCCATAACAGCTGGATTTTGCATTGGGTTTGGCATACCTCAAAACACGAAGTCCAACAGCCTCTGTGCACAAAGTCCCATATGGGTATTTAGCTTGGTGTGAATGGGGAAGGTTAGGGCCAGCAACCCTTGGGGGGTTAGGCTTAAGATTACCTTAAGAGGTCTTGACTGTAACACTGAACTTGGGCCAGGCCTGAGAAAACAGTGTTGTACTCAAGACCAACACAAGACTTCCAGTCTAGATTCGAGTCACAAGCGACATGTATTCAAATGAATGCAAGAAAAGCATTCCTTTGTCATTGTTCACACTGTTACTAGTGACTGGTCTTGTGCATGATCGGTTGTCTGGTCTCGCAAATGACCATGATGTGGTCTCATTTACAACACTGTGAGTAAAGCTCACATGAGTGTCAAAACGAATGCAGTTGTACTTGAAGAAATGAGCACCGGGGAAGTACATGTATGTGAATGCACTCTCTGTAGTTATACACAGCAGTGACACTTTAATAGAATTAGATATTCCCGAAGCA